TGCTTAATGGTTTCAGTACTTTCAATTCTTTTTAATAAGTGTTACAAACTGAAAACAAGACAGGTAGGTACTAAAAATATATTGGATATCTTAAAATTATCAACCCTACCAGTGGAAATAAAATGATGGCAATTAAAAGTAATACAGGTTATTAAAAGTTAAGGTCTCGGAGGCTAAGAAGTCATGTTAGACTGTCAATTGTTTTCCCCACAGTGGGTAATCAGTTAGAAATGAAAAAAAAAAAAATCTAGTAGTTTAGTTGTGGTCAAAGAAAGAGTCAGTGGGGATGGGGGAGGTTTCAGCAACATGCTGGTAGAAAAAAAGAGACTTACATAGTCTGGGAGGGCAGTGAAATGGAAGGCGTGGTAACCTCTCTCACTTAGTTGTCATTTTTTGATTTTCAATGACATTTTTTTCATTCGTTCGCCTAGTAAAGATGACAGAAGGTCCTAATTTATTATCTGACGTCTATTCCTGTTCCTAGATTTAAGAGAGTTTAACTGTATACAGTCATATAATCCAATATAAACACTTTGAAAAAAAGAAAACTAGATCACTGATGTTGCATGCATTCAATTATAATTATAACTGCACACCCAAACCAAAGATAAGGACTTGGGGCAAGAATCAGCCCGCACAGCCCAGGCACTGGTGGGAGAGGTCAGTGGATTTACAATTTCCTCAGATTACAGCAGTAAAAGGGAGGAGATCACAAGAAAGAGCTAACTTCTTCCTGAAATGATGATAAGCCACAGGTTATGAAAAATGCCTGCATTAAAGTCTTCTGCATGGCTCTGTGGATCTTCATATACTATATGCCCAAATGGAGCTGGTCAAAATACACAGCAAAGATATTCTCTATAGCAGATGCCTTCTGCTGCCAACATTAACCTGAATTTTAGATGATGAGAGAAGGATCATCATCACTTATCTAACATGACCTGACAGATTGTTTGGGCTTGACTAAAGAAAAAAAGAGATGGAGTGTAAATTTCTGTTTCTGTATGTAAGTTACACCAGGGCAGGTCAGATTAGTCCATGCCATGGTGTCCCTGATGTTTCTTCCCCTCCCACTTTCTGTGCTCACTTCAACATGTGTTGGGTGGGCATGCTGAAGGTGCTCAGGAAATATTGGGAAATAGATAAATGAAGAGACAACATCCATTAAATTCCAGGAAGAAAAACCAGCTGGAATTGCAACAGCCTTCACTTTTATGGCTAATTCGTATGCTTTAGGGAACACGAGGGAAAATTAAAAGAATAGAAAACAAAACAAAACAGAAAAGACTTTTCATAAGCAGAAAGGGAAGGGATCAAGGGAGGAAAGAAATAATATTAACAAAACTCCAAACAGCTTAATGCCAAAGTCACCTCCTGGCGTTTGCAAATATTGGTCAGAAGCAAAATACTGGAATTTGGATTCCAGTTCTCTGGTGGCAGAATATCACATCTGTTCATCTGGTCTAAGGCAAATAATTCCCTATTCTCATGGGCAATCTAAAGTAGATTCTTTGATAGGTACCTGATCTTTATTCCATTTAATTTAAAAAAACTATCTCTGGAGGAGGTTTAAAGTCAAAAGCTGTTGTCTGAAACTTAGCTAGGATTACTCACAAGATGAACAAGGCAAAACAATGTTTAGTCAGTTTCCATAGGTATGTTTTTATCGGATTATGTTTATTCTGAAAAACTAATTTATTGGAAAAGATATCTTAATTATACTATAAGAGATTGTTATTATTATTTAAGAAGCAGCAGGGCAGAATAATCTTAGTTTGATTAAAATTGTTGAAAATTAAGGTGCCATTAGCATAAGAATGTTTACATGTGGCTTCCCTCTCTGTGAGGTCATCTCATGATAGTGTCATTTACAGAGTGCTTTTATAAGGAGGGCACAGAAAAAGAAGAAAGTTCTCTATCCCTAGCTCATCAGTGAGCACCTCCAGGGTAATCCCACTCTCAGAGAAACAGAGATGAGTCATCAGAAAGCCACATTCTTTAGTTGTTCAAGGCCAACTTCCTAGCCTGAATGAGAATCTGTCCAAGCCAGCAGCTGCTTCAGGATGAGAAACCCTTCCCTGTTCCAGTCATGTGGGTAAGAATGGATCAAGTCTGCCTTTAGGAGGGCCGCACGCAAGTCTAGCTCAAACATCATCTAGTGCTGCTGTCTGCCTAGGATGTAGGACATGGGGTATGTCTGAAGAAATGTAAGGAGGTTGGATAAAATGGATTTGGTAGGGTTTTGGTAGAGACTGTTCATTGGGATGTTGGCTTTACTGAAGTCATCAGTGATAACAAAGACTATGAAGTCTAGTGATGTCTGAACTCCAAAACTGAGTTGTTTGCTACTCTAAGTGGCTTCTGCTTTACCTGATGAGAAAGAAATTCTGATGGGGGACACCGATGTCCCTATTACTGGCAATTGAGTAATTTGTGAAATTGTTCTCCTATTATTTTTTTTAAACTACTCTTCCAACAAGTTATTAATAAATTACTCAACACTGGGACACAAAAGCAAGCCCAAGGAAGAACAGGAGTTTTCAGATTCATTTCATGCATATATTTCACTCAGTGTTAGGACAGAGTTGGGTGGGACAAAGAAGGGCACACAGCACCACACATTTCTGTAGGCAGGCAATTTCCGTTTTCCCAGTCTAAGGAGAAATAGGTGACTACGGATTCCTGCTAAGCAAGACCTGTGAGAGCCGGCTGACCTAATTTAAATACAAGCCCTTGTTGAACTCTTGTTGTAGGAACCTTTTCTAAGCCTTAGCTCTTTTTTGTTCTTTCAGATGTTATTTCATAAAAAGTCATAGCATCTTTCTGCAGTCCTAGTACCCTGCATTCCCCACTTCCCCAAAGCATGTTGCTTCTCCTGCTAGCCTCTGCCTTAATCACATTTATTTGTGGGACTCTAGGGAGGGGATGGTAATGTTTAGAGTAGAGAAGAAAATAACTCTTTTTTTAAAAAAAGTCATCTTATTATGATCCTGTTTAGATGAAATATGGGACTTGCCATCAACAAAATTACAAAACAATCCCACTGGGAGACCAGCCCATTCAGAATAATTCATCTGTGAAAAAGTGAACTTTAATTGTTACTCTTGGCAGCCATCTAAGAGAAGAGTGAAATATTATACTACATATTGCCACGTGCAATAGTAAAATACCATTTCCTCCTTGCCAGAAGCAGTGTACAACCCTCTTCAAATTCAGGTTTGGGTCTGGTGATTTAGTCTAAATCCTCTGTTTTCCCCTCTCCTAAACCAACAGAGGTTTTCAAAAGAGCTGCATTTTTGTTAGAACTATTTGCTCTTTTTAAATTGCCAAAAAGTAATAAGTAAAACTAAGACATTTATTTGGGTTAAAGTTTCCTCAGCTTCATGGGGGTTAATGTCCTTAGTCTGTGATCCTTCTACTAAGAAGCTCATTCCAGCTTTCAATCAGCCAAGGTTATGTGTCAGCTCCTTCTCTCCCCTGCAGCCTCATGGATTTATATTGTACGAGTTGGGAGCATGTGGAAGCTAATCAAAATGAAACATACATATGGCAAATTACATCCTGGATTTTCTGGAACAACTGAAATTTCTAATAATTTTGAGGTTGCCCATACAATTACAATTTTGGGATCAAATCTCCTGATTTGGGCTTCAGAGAATGCAATTTCAACAGGTATTTACAATTCTAGATTAAAAGTTCATTGAAAACTGCCGCATTATATAGTGTACATGCATGGAAAGGTATTTGATAATACTCCAAAGCACGGACATATTCTTTTCCTAAAAATAGAGTGAAGCCTTCTGTGAAGATATTAATCAAAGAATTCTTAATGTGGCACTGGTAATCTAGGATATTTATAGATTTTGTTTCAGCATGAGTCTATAATAAATTATTTATAAGTAATTTTAAAAATATACATTCTGGTAGAAATATTTGCATATATTGGTCATATATAAGGATATATTAAGATCATATGTAAGATATGATATGTAGATAATATTACTTAGCATCCAAAATGCTTAAATTATTAGGGCCCTTAAAAATTAAATGACTTGCTCAGGACCATGTTACCAATGGTCTGACCATCAGAACCTCAATTTTTAAGTAGATGTGCCCTGTGCTATGGAACACTGTATTTCATCCATACAGATATATGATGATACTAAGATTATTTGGGAATACATTTTAAGTCTGTAGATATAAACAAATTAATCTTTGTTATAAGTTAGATTAATGAATTAAAACTTTATTATAACTTAGGTCACTTACAACTTGAGTAAATATACTAAACTTTAGGATATATGTTTTATATGGCCATTTTATTTTTATTATAACATATATTACCTATGACAATAAATATAATAGCTACTGTTAATAAGACTTTGGGAACTATGATCCGTATTAGCCATGGGAAAATCTTCAGTACTTGTTACATACTGTGCACAACTGCATAAGGACTGGACATTATAAAGCATCATCAGAATTTTTAGTTTATATAAAGTAACATTTCTTAGACTTATTACCTGTTTTTCTTTGTGGAAAATTTAAAACAAACAAAAGCAAAATTTGTAGAATGCATGGCCTTAGCAACTAACAGTGCTACACTAAAGTGAACAATATATATCAGTTATTATTGAAGTGGAAGTAGTCCTATAGAAGGTGAGGAATTTTAAAATACATTATTATAAATATCACTTAGATACTCAATGACAGCAAATAGTAAACTAATCAGGGGTCCCATAGGTCGACTATACATGGGAGTTGGTCGATCTTTTAAAAAAATTGACCTATGATGTGGGAAGCCAAAGAAATCTCACTTATCTGTATAGTTTTAACTTAAAAAAATCAACCTGCCTTTCATTTACTAAAAGATCAAGCTCTTTGTGTGTCAGCACAAAATTTAAAGTTTTGTTTGAGGGGTTCTATTTCCTGCTCTCCATTTAAAATGGGGGAAAAATAAAAATATTTTGCCTGTGACAGAATATGAAAGAAGTTCTCACCCTTAAAACCAGCAGCATTGGTTTTCCAGTCATTAGCGTTCAAATGTCCCGCACGGGAAGTCCTGACAATAACATGCTGTACGTCTCTCCAGGTCAGAAACGGACTGGGGAAAGACAAGGTAAGAATCATTGTACCAAAAAAAAAAAAAAGATGGGGGAAGCAGAGAGTCACAAGCAAATTAAAAAAGCAAAATCAAAATGGCAAAGTACTAAAAACAAAGGGTCAGAGATTTGGGTTTGGGATAACCAAATGCCAAATGTCGCTCTTGTTCTCAACATGGAGAAGTGACATTAGTCTGTGGGAGGCAGAAAATGTAACCTTAAACTGAAGAAATAATAAGACTGTAGTCAGGGTAGCTTAGGTTTTTAAAAGGGTGAGCGTTTCCAGTTTCCTCAACAAAATGGCTGCCCACTATGGTGCTGTCGTCCTTTGTATAAAAGCTGGCATCATCATCAGAAGATTACAGTAAGCTAGAATCAAAACAGAAGGCCTCTGGAACGTTTCTTCTTTAATCATTGAATAGTTCGGTAACTGAGTTGCAATTAACCAAAAGAACTCAGCAATGTTGAACCTTCTATGCATACATATGTGGGATATGGAAAAATCTCAGCGAAACAGCATCCCAATTGTCAGCATTTTTAAGCAAGAGAATATGGTACAGAACCCAAAGCTGGGCTCCAAGGCACAGACAGTTATAAGGGCATTCTTAATTTGCAATGGGTAGTTGTTATACTGTGTTATTAGATACCTAGTTCTTACGGCTACTAGCACTGAAGAACACAAAAGAGACTACTGAGCAGGAGATACTTTCATTGGAGAACTGCAATGCTAATCGTAATCACACAGAAAACAAATCCAAGCACATACACACAGACTTTTATTCCCTTTCATTGACTACGTATATACTCGAAGGCATTTGACTCAGGGCATGCATGCAATTCTAATCAGGATACTTATTTGATTCAGTCTTGAATTCTGAGGTGTGCTGATCTTTTCCTTAACTAAGAAATATGACAATTTTCAAGCAGTGTGTGCAGCCATTTTATTTATTTCTCACCAGCCACCTTCACTTCAGCAGAAATATTTGCAAAGGATGGGAGAGAAGATTAAGGGAAGAGGAGAAAATTACTCACTACCTGCCTTGAGGTGTGATGGGCCTTGAGGTAGTCTTTCTGCATTCTCTATTATAGGTGTGTGGATATTGGGGTCTTTCAGGCAGAGGGAGAACTTAGTATCTTAATTGTGCCTAATTTTTCATGATAGGGGCTGTATGTTTCTTCACTTTATACTACATTTTTTCCCCCATCATACTCATCACATCTATGCTTTTTAGGGTGGTCACGGCGGCCTTCTAGTAAGAAGGGGTCTAGTGATCAGATTCTGACTCCTTCATTTTCTATCTATGTGAAATTAACCTCTCAAAGTCTTAGTATCCCCACTTAGAACATGGATGCTAGTATCTGCTTTATATCGTTATACTGATTGAATCAGTTAAAATAATGCCAAGTACTTAACCTTGTGCCTGGTGCATAAGAAGCCATTAAGAAGTGGTAGATAGCAAAGCATTTTGCTAAAATTTGCAGCCACAGCTCTTATTTGGTGGCTTGAATATGAAAGAAATGGGGAAAGAAAAGTACTATTGAGTTCTGACACTTTTTCTGTTATGGTCTCAGATTAAAAATAAAAGGAGACTGAGTCCTGCCATTTTTTAAAGTTTCCCAAGCAGGTAAGACTGGATCTAGACTACTTGGTAAAGTGATATTAACAAAAGAACTTTTATTGTGGAAATTAAATCCCAACTACATAAACTTTAAAACTATGAGAACGACAAAAACAGAATTATTCTTGTTTTCTTAGGTTACAGCACTTGTTAGGAATCAATTTTAGAACCTGATAAAGCAAGAAACTTTCAAGAAAGGGAGGGAGGCTGTTTGGTGGAATCCAGGGGGCAGGACGTTTTGCTTCTAAAACAAATTGCATGATTTGACCCTTTGCTGACTAACACTAAATTCATTCACATGATCCTTCAGTAGACTCAATGCACTACTGTCAGGGAAATCAGAAAGTAAGTCAAGGGATAATCTTGAATGCCAGTCTCAACATAAGATGTTCTAGCTCTGCTAAGATGGTATGTCCTAGTTATTAGGGTGAAGGGTAAAAATGACAAGAAAACTTGGTCCAGAAAGACATTCTAGCCACTTATTTATGGTAAAGCAGAATCCTCCCAAATGAACATATATGTTTTCATTTTGTCATGAGTAAACAGTGAGACACCAAAGAGTACACTTGGATTTGATGAAAATACCTACATCAACCTAGTAATTTTAAAACAACATTTGACACCTAGTTAGAACTTCCATGTTTTAACTCCTTAAACTTAACCCTCCTTTAGGGAGGAGAAAATAAGAAAAGAAGTCAGTGTCTCATGTTACCTGTCACCAGGGCAAGATTCCTTCAGATATATCAAGCAAGAAATTCTGATCATTGGGAGATCTACGTTTTCCCTAGTTAACCTTAGCACTAAAGATTTAATTTTCATAATAGAACAGGGAACATTTATATTGATCTTATACTTTAAGCACCTGTATTCTGGCAGATTCAGGAAGCCTCCTGCATTCAAACTCAGACTGAAGAAATAAGAGTTACTTGTTCTCATGCTGAGTAGCAAAACCTAGTTCTTGGAGTGCTTGTAATTAGAAGGAAGAAATTAGTTTCAGGAAATTGGAACTACACATGGAAAGAGAAGGTGTTTGGATGGTTTTACTCTGATATTTGGTAATGCACAACTTCAGAAATGATCTAATTTGAAAATTTCCTGAATTTCACCAAAATAAAGTAAGGAAGCCAAATTGAAAAACCAGTGGACCTGCAATCAGTAGTGTTTCTATCTGTGGGAAGATAATTAGCTCGAGAAACAGCCATAGGTTAATTTTGCTGGACATTATGGTTTATTTATTGTTAGAATCCAGAGACGACTCTTGTTTATGGATATGTCTGATTCACATCTTACTTTTCATTTGTATTTATACTCACAGGGATGATGCAGAAGTAAAGACTAAGTCAAACTATGAGAGATCTCGTAAACCATTTATAAAGTAAATGCAGAGAGAGAAGGCTGAGTGCTCTCTGCAGGGAGCTCCACAGTCCACAACCATAATTTAGGACTCCCTAATACCTATTCCTCTCTGCCAAGTATCTTGGACCCAAACTCCAATGGCCTCTGAAAACTGAGACCTCTCTGATCTCCAAGAATAGACAGACTTGTGCAACAAGAGATTTGAAGCAAACAACTATTGAGAGATCAAAAGTCTAACCCACCTGGAGAAAAGAACATCTCCCAATCCTGAGTCTTGTGACCACCGCCCTATAATAAATCACATGTAGTTATGCTACACACCCCTCAAATTTCTTCCTGGAATTATTAACAAATGCCCTTAAACAAAACTATACATGAAGAGAGTAACATTTATAAACACCTACAAGATATGGGTAGCCATCTATGACCTTTCAAACCAATGAAATGAACATGCCTTTCTGGGGAGTTCTATATATGTAATCATTTCTAGTTTTGCATCCTTTGCTGAACTCATAGTAATAACCAACATTTAGTGAGCACTTGGCCATGGCCAGGCACTGTATGTTTTGTGTACATCATTGTTGCATGATATTGTTGCAACATATGATATCCACATCATATGTTGCATGAACATCATATGATGTGGGTAACATTCTTATTCCTGTTTCACAGACAACAAAATTGAGGCTTTGAGTTACACACAGTAACTCAAATACACAGGTAGTAAGTAGAACTAGAATTCAAGCCAGCTGGACTTGGCTATATAACTTATGCTATCAATCACCATATAACACTATTTCCTAATGGATACACACACACATCTATTTGTCAGGAAGTTCTTTGACAACTGCATCAAAAAGCCAAGTATGGCACGTTGCATCCTCATGTTTACACACACTTTGTACACACACTCTTTCTCGACTCTGTTGATTTTTGTTTACCATAGCATTCAGAAGATTCCTGAGTCTTAATTTGTTCTGCAGGTTCCAAAGGCCTAACTTTTACCCATTCTTTCAAAGGTAAACAGAAAAATAACACACCAGGAAAATCACATGATTTTTATAATAGTTTACATGTATGCTGTGTATCATAACATCAGTATATTACTGCATACCATTATTGTTATGAACTTGTCATCTTGCCTGCCATGGCCACACTTGGATGTGGTTCACAGCCAGGCTATGTGACCCTTCTCTGTTCAATGAACCTCAGCTGAACCTCACCTTAAACACTTCTAGTTTTCTAGTTTTCAGCTGCAAAAACAGCATAATTGACACGATCACTACACAGTGTTTGCATTACATTTCTACTCTGAGCAGTTCCGAGTATTTCCCAGGCCCAACACAAGGTGTAGAAGAAGCAGGACATCTCCCAAAAGAGACATTTTGTGTAGTGTTTCTTGTTGGGCTAAGTGCAACTGCCAGCACTTCAATTGAAAAAAAAAATGCTTCACCAAAAGGTTTTTCCAGATAATTCTGGGAAATTCACGTGTGAGTGCTAAGCCAAGATGGGCGGATCACGAGGTCAGGAGATCAAGACCATCCTGGCTAACACGATGAAACCCCATCTCTACTAAAAAATACAAAAAACTAGCCGGGCGAGGTGGCGGGTGCCTGTAGTCCCAGCTGCTCGGGAGGCTGAGGCAGGAGAATGGCGTGAACCCGGGAGGCGGAGCTTGCAATGAGCTGAGATCCGGCCACTGCACTCCAGCCTGGGCGACACAGCGAGACTCCGTTTCAAAAACAAACAAACAAACAAAAAAATACATCTGTACCTGGTGGTCTTTAAAAACAAGGACTAATTTGAAATCTTGGGTGACTGACTCACCTGCAATTATTAAGGGGAAAAAGATAACCAACCTCCTGCTCAACCCACCACCCAAATACATCCTCATTGTCATTTAGGGGCAGCTGATAAAAAAGACAACAGATACACATCTTGTTACAGAAAGAGAATTTATCAATAAGAGGACCAACAGCTAGTCCAGATAATGAAACTGTTTCCTAAAAGAGCAATCCTAAAATACA